AATATCATAATTCACCCTTATTCCACCATATCACTTCACCCTTATTTCACGTGTTGCAGTGTGCAACCCGATCCCACCGTACAATATCAATATCATAACAATAAATAAAATATGTTGCAGCGCGCAATATCACAATTCACCCTTATTTCACCTGTTGCGGTGTGCAACCCGATCCCACCGTACAATATCAATATCATAACAATAAACAAGACATATTGCAGTGCGCCACCCGATTCCACCATATAATATCAATATCATAATTCACCCTTATTTCACCATAATAATCCACCCTTATTTCACATGTAGTGGCGTGCAACCCGATCTCTCCGTACAATATCAATATCATAACAATAAATATGCTCCCTTATTCCACCACCTCCCTTATCTCACCTGTTGTGGTGTGAAACCCGATTCCCCGTACAATGTAAATCAACAACAACAATTCAATAGCTCAATTTACAAAAATATCTACAACCAAGAGTACGAGTACACGCCAACAAGGGAACCACGTAAAATCAAAGGACTACAACAACATTTATAAAATAACAAGACATGTAAGATACGTGATAACTAAGCAGGCAATCACAACAATTTGGACACGTAGAGAATATGCACGTAGTCATAGAAGAACTCAACAATTAAGAGGTAACAAGACAATAATGAAGGTAATGACTCCAACCAAGGCATATAAGGTCCAAATAACAAGTAAGATGTAAATAAGTGCTAACAACATCATATAAAGCATGTAAGAGTAGTCTAACAACAAGATACCACATGTTATGACAATTTAATCAAAGGCATGGAAAGAGACTAGACAATCTAAACCGCTCAATACCACATATAAACTATGTATCCACTCGTCACCTTGCGTACACAACTTTCACATAACAAGATAACACAATGAACTCAATTCCTAAGGGGTGGTTTTCCCCACACAAAGTTAGACAAGACACTTACCTCAATTCGGCAAACTCAAAACTCAATTTAGCTTTTCCTTTGCCAATTCACCATTTCTCGGCCCAATCTAACCAAAGACGACTTAAATACATCAAACAATGCAAGAGAAAACAATGTCAATTAACAAAGCTTTGATCCTTATACAATTTGCAAAAAGTCAACAAAAGTCAACTCCCCAAGCCCGCACCTCGGAACTCGACAAAATTTACAAAACCCGAACACCCATTCCGATACGAGTTCAACCATACAAAAATTATTAAGTTCCGATACCAACTCGTCTTTCAAATCATCATTTTTCATTTTTGAAAGATTTTACAATTTTTCCAATATTTTCCTTTGGATTCTCGTGAATTTGATGTTAAATCGAAGGTTTAATCACAAAATATAAGTGAAAATTGATTAGAGGAACTTACCCAATAATTTGATATAAAAATGCTCTATCAAAATCACTCACTCTCGGACCTAGGGTTCAAAATATGATAAAATGAAGCTAAGTCCCGAAATGGGAGTCTTAATACCAGCCTCAGATGTCGCATTTGCGACATCCAGATCGCAATCGCGATGCTCGAAAATGCGACAAAAGCGTCACAAAAACAAAGGTTGACTAGCTCTGCTCAGGTCGCAAATGCGACACAAGACTCGCAAATGCGAGTTCTTAGTCTTTCGCAAAAGCGACAGTTTGTGTCGCAAATGCGGAGCTTCAATTGCAAATGCGATGAAGTAGTTCGCAATTGCGAACTCCCCTGCCCAGCCCATCGTCGCAAATACGGACATCGCAAATGCAATGAAAACCTCGCAAATGCGAGAACAGAGACACCAACACAGCTGAACCTTCTTTCAACACTCCGAAACGCGTACGAAACTCATCCGAGCCCTCGAGGATCCATGTCAAACATACACGCAAGTCTGCAAATATAACATGAACTCGCTCACGTGATCGGAACACCAAAATAACCTCTAGAACCACGAATCAGATGCCAAAACACATGAAAATCACCATGAACTTCAAGAACTTCTAGATTCGCAACCAAGCGTCCGAACCATATCAAATCAACTCCAAATGACACCAAATTTTGCAGGCAAGTCCCAAATGACATAACGGAGCTGTTCCAACTCTTGGAATCGCATTCCGACCCCGATATCACCAAAGTCAACTCTTGGTCAAACCTCTCAATCTTCCCAAACTTCAACTTTCCAATTCTCGCCAAAATGCTTCAAATTACCCTACGGACCTCCAAATCCAAATCTGGATGCACGCCTAAGTCCAAAATCACCACCCGAGCCTATAGGAACCATAGAAACTCCAATCCACGGTTAAATACTCAAAAATCAAACCTTGGTTAATTCTTTCAACTTCGAACTTCTCAAACGAGAGGCACTTCTAAAAATCTTTTTCGAACTTCTCAAAAACCCGAACTGATGATCCACGCAAGTCATAATACACTGTGTGAAGCTACTCGTGACCCCAACCAGCCAAACTTGACGCAATTGCACAAAACGACCAGTCGGGTCGTTACATCCTCCCCCACCTAGACATACGTTCGTCCTCGAACGTGCCGGGAGTCATTCCAAAACGATCAAGTCACTGCATGAGCTCACCATACATACACCCGGGGGTGATTCCCCATCACCCAAACCTACGTAGGACTGACAATGCAATTTAACTGAAGATCTCACTTCATCCTTAGTCCATAACCTTAGGACAGAACCAAAATCTCAACATCTAAAATTCATCATAGGACCCGAATCTCGCATCATCACATTGTATAAACCTGAACAAGCCGAATCGAGCCATATTTCCAACACAGGGTACAATCACATGATGTTCCACAAAACTCAAATGCATATAGCAATAACTTTTGACCACCATAGCTTCCCAAATAACATTATGGATGTCAGCAATACACTTCACATTGAATAGAACCTTCTTCCGGACCTCCACAACGCTACCCATGATAAAGAAACATGCGGGAACTCATAACCGCCCATGAAGTCAACAAGTCAAAAAGCTCTCTCGTCGGTACACCAAGCAGGCAGCCGAATTAGCAACTCATCACTGAACCGCATAGATTCTCACACAACACGGTACCTGCACCAACCCAGCAATAACTTAGTTATGTAGTACAAATAAAAGGAAAGCAAGATATGGGGATTGTCCAACAAGTAAAACAGGTGTAACAACAAAAGTATTGTTTCATTAAATCACCCCACATAGGGAAAACAAAACACCAAATAAACACAAGGAAAGGGTATCCCACATAACATCCGCTGCAGCGTGTAGCCCGATCCCAGATACTCATCAAGCCAAAGTGCTCGGGTTCACTTATCACATGAATACTAATATCAAGCACAGTAGAGTGCACAAGTATAACTGTGGGAAGATGAATAGAATTATAAAACATGGAAGAAAGCAAGCACAACTAAGGTGCAATAAGTAAATCAACATCACGAGGGCCATCTTGCCCGCATCACCATAAGGCCTGAACGGAATTACAACATGCGCGGAGAATAATCATACAACCTCACAGCCCATCACATCATAAGAGAGTAGAACATAACATAGACTAGGGCACAAATAATATCCATTCTGACCGGTAGCATAACCGTGATAACAATCTTACAATAGCACCCAAACTTGATCTGATGTAAAATACACATTCTCATTGAGCTTTCAAATAACCCCCAACCAAATCTCGTTCCTTCCCAAATAGGTAAATATCCTTCCAAAACCCATAGCAATCTATCGATAATGTATGCTATCAGTTATCCCATTTTCAACATTCCTTCACCATTCCGCAAACAAGAAATAGTTCGCATATGAGGACATCCAGCCCCAAAACCTCATAAATACCAAAATTTCCATACCCGAACTCAACTACGCTACTCGAATGGCTGATATATCATTCACACCCCATCATCTTACCGAAGCACCCATATACACTTTCGGGACGCGTACAAAACCTGAACCTCAGAAGCCTCAAAACCCAGTAATCATCATGCCGCTAGCCAAGCATTTGCAAACAAAAACTTAAAGTTCCTTCCTAAAATACACGCTCTTCACATATGATATCCAATAATGCCAACATTCTATTAACTTCTGATATCCATCCAGGAGAAAACCATATCTACAACATATTCCTTATGCCCGTAGCAGACAACCGACTCAAGCCGTGGCCGAGACCATTGAGAACTCTCCGAGACCCGCGCACACGCAACTAAGCCATCAGGACTGCATCTCCCCAACTCAATCGAGCCACACAACCGTCCAACCCAAGAGTAGTGCAAGAAATGCCGGTAGGGAATTCCCATTAGAAAAGGATCAATTGCTTCCATTGCTATGCTGACCCAACACAACAGAGCTGACCCATTTCTTCGGTTACTCCTCGCCTTTCCTCTGAGGTAACACTTCTCCTTGTCGATACACAACTACCCCAACCAAAACTCAATGCAAAAAATCCTAGCACAAGCTGTTATACCCCATTTTAACCGGATCAAATTAGAGTATAACTTATTGGTGATTCTCATAATTAATTACTAACTAAAGAGTCGCCACCTAATTATTTCAAAGGTGAATTGGGACGCCTATTTTTACTAATATTAACTATGCACATGGTCTACTAAACTTCAGAAATTCTAAGGTAAGGGTTCAGTTAATCTTAAAGAGAAGGTGTAAAGCACTCTTTAAGATCCATAAAATGATTTACCAACCGGACTAGAGTCAATTGATTAGAATATGTGCAAATTATAAGACGAAACAAATATTTTAGGAAAGTGGATTGAATTCAAAGAGTTTGATTGTGAAAATGTTGTTGGACTAAAAGGACGTGAGCCAAGTCGAAATTGCAGTACACTAAATGTGAACTTTGAAACAAATTCTAATGACTACTAATTTGTTTAAGAACACATTTGTTAGATAGAAGTGACAAATTATGTATTCCTTAATTCTCTAAACCTAAAACTATTGTCCAACATTTTTTTTCCCTAAAGAGTTTGGTTATTAAACTAAATGAATAATCTTAAGTAATCATGCTAGCTATTAGCTGTATTCCAAACCAAGATAATTTTAACACATAAACAAGTAATTCAAATAATCAAGGCAATCATTTAGTCATATAATCAAAGCAAAGGCAATAGATATAAGAAAGAGGCTTAAATGCCTATTCCTGCAGCCCCACAAAGGACCATGCTTCTGCTATTCATCAATTGTTTTCCTTGAATGAAATTCGAGACCACGAGGAATAGATAAATGTGATGGCTAACTCCATGAGAGTTGAAAGACTCTTTCATTAGCATTCGAACACTCGTCCCAGGTGTACATGCGAACAGAGAAAGAAAAGAAAGTAAAGAAGAATTACAATAGAAAATCTGATTCACAACTATATATATGGATGCTAAAGTAAATAGAAGAAAGAACACACTGTCACTTAATACACAACAGACAGTAAAATTGAAAATATTCCTTCATAATGTCTACTCGAGTATGATAGACTGAAGTTCACTAATTTATATATGATGTATCTTGACATTTTACACTTAGGAGACAGACAAATCACTTGCAATTATGTTTAAAATACATGATCAAGTTGGCAATAAAGTGTTAAAGGCAGGTTTCTTACTGTTTACAACTATGTCTAATACAGCTGTACCAAAAGCAGGCTTAATCCATAGCTTAAACGTATAGGTAACTAACCTATTCTCTTTTAAATCTAGTTATACTATATTAACGTTTTCTGCTTATCAGTTAACACTACATTAGCTAATAAAAACAAATTTATAATGATAGAATATTCAAAACATCAAACAAGACTACAGGTTCATGATACCAAAACTCATTTTAACTAAAAGACTCCTTTTAATGTATCCTAATGAGCAAGAATTAACTGGGCCTAAGGCCATGGCATCTAACAAGTGAGATAAAATTAACTAAATTATGATTTCTGTATTAGCATTCAAACTTGTTATTAGCTTAAACGAGCAGCACTTCAACACATACATATCCTCGCTTCAAAACTCAAAGTTGACAAACAATGTATTTCTTTGACATAAACAAAATTTCTTAACTCTAAATATGAACACTTAATCGAGTATTTTACTTTGACCAAACTTTATAATTACAAAATTTGTATACAAAATTTGTACGACAATCTTAAGCCATGATATCTAAAAGCTTAAAGGATCTAAGTCATGATTTCTACACTTAAATCATTAGTTATAACAGTTTTGTCACAAAATCAGTAACTTATACACAAGACGTTTCAGTGAACCTGGCAATCAATTTCAAAGTACAAATACTACTCTACAACTAATATTTGTAACCAAGGCCTTTTAATTAAAGGAAGCATGGTTCTTAACAGAGCTGCAAAATACATGCTACTACAGCAGATTTTAATTATAAGTCCTAAAGACATGAGTGCTAATGTCCCCTTTTGTACAAACTACAAACATATTTTGATTCAATTAAACGGAAGAGAATCTAACACGTAATTCAATAATACGGTATGTTAGTAATATAAGAATAATAGGATAAGGTCGAGTTTTTACCTTCCACGGGGCAGTGAACTGAGTGCTTTCGAGACTCCACATCTACTCCACAATACAAGAGTTGAGCGACAAAATTAAAGGACTTTTGAGTATCAGATTATAAGTACTAAAACAAAGATTAAAATTGGAAGATTTAGTTGATTTGAGAGATTATTTTTCACAGTGTTCAAGCCTTGGTTTCGGCTGAAGATTTTGAGAGGTATTTATAGGTGAAAAACAACAAGGGTTTCTGTAGAGCGGGGATCTAAAATTTTGGATTCAAAATCTTGGTCACATATCCGTTCAAATTCGAACGTTGGAGGTTTGGACGGATTCGGCAGGCTTCACGTGGTGTGAGAAATAAAATGAATGAGATATAAGAACTTACTGAAATTGGAGGGGCAAGTTTCTGCCATGGATAATGGAGGTTGAGACCTTTCGCCAAAGAGGAAGAAAGAAGAAAGACAAACCTTAATTCTTAGAAGTGATAAACTTGATATTGGACTAGGCAGATTTGGGTCTATGGAAATTGGGCTCGAGTAGGCCAATTCGGCTGATTAATGAACTGATATGAATTTTAGGCCAAATTTTCATGATCTCTTTCCTTCTTAAAATTAATTTAATTGGATTCCCTTGTCTTAGTAATTTGGACTCAACAAAAATACTTTGAACATATATAATATTATATATTAAATAAGTGATTAACTTAATATAGTCATATTAATGGTAACACTAATAATAATAACAACAACAACAATAATAATAATAATAATAATAATAATAATAATAATACAAACATTGACTATAATAGTAGTAATCACTTCAATAATTATAACTATTATAATAGTAGTGATAAAGGTAATAAATAATTACAAAAATAAAATATTAGATTATTAATGACTAGGGAGTACTAGAAAATTATTCAGAAGAAAAGTAGGACAAAATTGGATATCAACACAAGCCACGTAGCCCAGAAGCTCATAAACCACCGTATTTTCTCTGAAGCACCCCATAATTCCCCGACCGAGATGCCCATGCAGAATAGACCTTCTGTGGATCTGAAGTTGTTTCTTCGATCCCCTTTAATACTGAAATGTAGACCCATTATGACGCACAAATACCGTAAGCCCCAACATCATCCCATGCAAGGTCTCAGATCTTAATCATATATAAATTTCGAGGAACCTTCCAATATCACATATACACATCTCGGGCCAAAATCGGTATAATACCTAACTCTGCAATCTGCATGCCGCTAGTGGACTCCCCCACTTGGCGCGAAGCCATAGAAAATAAAATCTGATGATCCGCAAAACAAACCTTCACAGCTCGTACAACACCAATCACAAGGTACTCCATGTCATCTACTAAGCGCACGTCCATTCTCGTGATGGTCAAACTCGTTTCCTTCAGTGCCTTGAATGATAATATGTACCTTTCACTAAGTTGAAATCCCATATAAACCACATAGTCTCCAATACCCCCAACTATCCTCAATCAACATTCACCTCGTGACCCCACTACGATCGCGATGACTCGTCAACCAATCAAACCTTCCCAAGCTCATTCTTATCAATCCAATGCCAGAACCTGCTGCACCCCCATGTGAACAACTAAATAGTACTTCAATACCTCCGCATCTTCAGTCTGGACGACACGTTGAGACAATGTTTGAGCATCCCTGGCTCCCTCGTAGCCCATCTGTAGCAACACCAACCACTAGCGCATAACGGACACTGAGAGCGCAATATCATACACGAGTGGATGTAAAGGAACATAAGATATATGCTTCAAGCTGAATCGATGTCGTACGACAAGGAATGAAAGAAGTGGAATTTTCTTATAATTTTCGTAGCCCCTCGAAGATAAGTACAGACGTCTCCGTACCGGTCCGCAAGACTCTCCTCAAACTTCTTATGAATCGTAGCACCTATGAACCTAGAGCTCTAATACCAACTTGTCACGACCCAAAACCCTTCCAAAGGAGTCGTGATGGCACCTAGTCTCTAAAACTAGGTAACATTAACTGAAATAACAACAATAGTTAACTAACATCGAACAATTTCGAAATCGAAATCCTTATACAAAGTTAAAATCCCAAAACAGGTATACAAGTCATATGACTTTAGGAGTAATTATCCATAATAAATACATCACTGTTCCGAAATAAAAGGAAACAATGAAAATAAATACAATAGAAGGTGACTTCGGAGTCTGCGAACGCCCAGCAGGTGTACCTTGAAGTCTCCAGCATCACCAAGCATAAGTTTTAAAACCGACTCGATTTGAAGTAGCTGGTTCTGCACAAAAATGTGAAGAAACGTAGCATGAGTACACCACGGTGGTACCCAGTAAGTGTCAAGCCTAACCTCGGTAGAGTAGTGACGAGGCCAGGTCCAGACACCTACCGAGCATATAAACTTGTGCAGGATATAACATAAAGCTAACAAGGAAGGGATATCAAGTAATACCAATAGTGAAAAGAAATCGAATTGCAAACAGTAGTAGCGACAAGGAAAAACACAAATGGAAACAAGAGTTAGCCAAGTAATTAAACAACAACATAGTTGGGATACATGTAAGTGTAAATGTGCTCAAGTAGGGAAAACGGTGTCAAATCAACCAAAAAAATTGTTTCTAATACAAGGTTCCAATAATTCCAATTCTCGCAATCTCATACCATAAATCACAACTTCCAAACCTTTAACACACATGGCACCTTGTGCCCACATCTTTTCATCTCGCTTTGCACGGTGAAATCCACGTGCTACTCGGTATATAATATCCGCATTGCTATTAAGATGTTCAAGAGATTCCATTTATATATCATAAAGTAAATTTACAGTTTCTAGACCAAATAGGAAATCAGCGAGAAAGATGAGTTTATTTTAGAAATTATTTGAGTGAAGAAAAATAATATTTTTCAAATAAAATTCAACATCGAATAGCTATTGCATTTATTATAGAATTTATTAAGTTAAAACATAATAACAATTTCCTTTTAAGTAAATAAAAACCACAGACATGTTAAGAAGATTAAGTTGGGAAATCAATTGAAATAAAATATAACGATTATTAGAAATAGTAAATACTGAAATATACGGCGAGTTCTAACTTAAAGGTCACACAAGGTAGCGTGATATTAATTCATTTATTTTAATTCAGTATATTACTAACAACTCAGCAAGACAGGAGCTAATGACTCCACGTAATAAACTCACCTTGAAACTCAATTCACCAGAATAATAGTATTAGGAAAAGAGCTCAGGAAATGACGGCAAGGCAATAAGTCATTGACAATAACTCAATCCTCAGAAAAACAATGAAACCAGAAATACAATTTCTCAGGGTCCCGTACGAAAGAATTAAAGCCAATACAATAAAACAGGGAATACAAAATACCGAATATATTGCAGCGCGCAACCCAATCCCACCTTATAATATCAATATCATAATTCACCCTTATTCCACCATATCAATTCCCGCTTATTTCACCTATTGCGGCATGCAACTCGATCCCATCGTACAATATCAATATCATAACAATAAACAAAACATGTTGCGGCGCGCAACCCGATCCCACCATATAATATCAATATCATAATTCACCCTTATTCAACCATATCAATTCACCCTGATTTCACCTGTTGCGGTGTGCAACCCGATCTTACCGTACAATATCAATGTCCTAACAATAAACAAAACATATTGCGGTGCGCAACCCAATCCGACCATATAATATCAATATCGTAATTCACCCTTATTTCCCCATAATAATCCACCCTTATTTCACCTGTTGCGGCGTGCAACCCGATCCCACCGTACAATTTCAATATTATAACAATAAATATCCTCCCTTATTCCACCATATAAGAGGTAACAAGACAATAATGAAGGCAGACTCCAACTAAGGCATATAAGGGCCAAATAATAAATAAGATGTAAATAAGTGCTAACAACATCATATAAAGCATGTAAGAGTAGTCTAACAACAAGATACCACATGTTATCACAATTTAATCAAAGGCATGGAAAGACACTAGACAATCTAAACCAGTGAATACCACATATAGACTGTGTACCCACTCGTCACCTTGCGTACACAGCTTTCACATACCAAGATAACACAATGAACTCAATTCCAAAGGGTCACCCACACAAAGTTAGACAAGACAGTTACCTCAATTCGGCCAACTCAATACTCAATTTGGCTTTTTCTTTACCAATTCACCATTGCTCAACCCAATCTAGCCAAAGACGACTTAAATACATCAAACAATGCAAGAGAAAATAATTTTAATTAGCAAAGTTATGATCCTTATACAATTTGCAAAAAGTCAACTCCCCGAGCCCGCATCTGGAAACCCGCAAAATTTTCAAAACCCGATCACCCATTCCGATATGAGTTCAACCGTATTAAAAATTATCAAGTTCCGATACCAACTCGTCCTTCAAATCATCATTTTTAATTTTTGAAAATCTTACAATTTTCCCAAAATTTTCCTTTGGATTCTCATGAATTTGAGGTTAAATCTAAGGTGTAATCACAAAATATAATTGAAAATTGATTAGAGGCACTTACCCAATTATTTGATATGAAAATTCTCTCTCAAAATCACCTACTCTCGGACGTAGGGTTAAAAATATGATAAAATGAAGCTAAGTCCCAAAATGAGAGTCTTATTACTAGCCTCAGATGTCGCATTTGCGACATCCGGATCGTAATCGCAATGCTCGCAAATGCGACAAAAGAGTCACAAAAGCGAGGCTGACCAGCTCTGTTCAGGTCGCAAATGCGAAGACTCGCAAATTCGAGCTCTTAGTCTTTCTCAAAAGCGGCAGTTTGTGTCGAAAATGCGGAGCTGCAATCGCAAATACGATGATGTAGTTCGTAATTGCAAATCCCTTGCCCCAGCCCATCGTCGCAAAAGCGAGAAAAATCTCGCAAATGCGGACATCGCAAATGCGATGTAAACTGTAATGACCCGGCCGGTCGTTTTTAAAATTTACGCCTCGATCCCCCATTAACTGCCTCCCCTAAGTTCATTTTTGCTATTTTGGTTTGCCGGGACGTTCGGTGTTAGGATTCGGAGTGTTTTGGGACACTTAGTCCCTAAATGAGAGCTTAAGTGTGGTAAAGTGGTCCGTAGTCAGAACAGTGTGAAGACGGCCTCGGAATGGAAATACGATGGTCCCGTTAGCTCCGTTAGGTGATTTCGGGGTTGGGAGCGTGTTCGGAATGTATTTTGGAAGTCCGTAGCTCTTTTAGGCTTGAAATGCCGAAGGTTGAATTTTTGATGTTTCCGGTCCGATAGTGAGTATTTGATTCGAGGGTCGGAATGGAATTCCGGAAGTTGCAGTAGCTCCGTCATGTCATTTGGGATGTGTGTGCAAAATTTCAGGTCATTCGGATGTGGTTTGGTTAGGTTTTTGATCGAAAGCGTATTTGGAAGAAATTTGAAGTTCTTAGGCTTGAATCATTGATTAAATCGGGTTTCCAGTGTTGTTTTAGG